AAAAAATAAATAAATAAATAAATAAATAAATAAATAAAGAGTAAAGCGCAAGGCAGCTTGTACCCTAATGTCAGGTTTCCAGCTTGCTGCTAGGAAAAGCAGCCTGGATAAGAGAGAATGTGTATTATAAATGAAATCCCCTAAGACTAGACAACATGCGTACATTTCAGGTAAGGACAGTGAGCCAGTATCCCTTGTAAAGTGCAAACAATTACTTCTAGGTTAAGTACCTACAAATAATTGTAAGCAAAATTTCCAAAGTCAACTGCCTTTAGCTTGGGGCTAGAGCAATCACCTAACTCTACCTCCCACACGGGGCATCAACAACTTCCTTAACTCTTAGGCTGAATTCTCCCAACAAAATACTTCCAAGCTTTCTTTGCTGAATAAAAATGGCGCTGCTTTCCCCTCACAATATTGTTGGTTTCTCAGTACTCCTTAGGCTCTTTAACCATCAAACTCAATTGGCCTCATTTGAATGCCACCGTTCCCTGAACACTGCCAAGTGCTTTTTTGAGGGTTGGGCCAGGAGGTAAGGGTGGCTGCTTCTATCTACAAGGCTGCAACTTTCTCAGCTAGAATCCTGGGGATAACTGCCTCTCACTTCATAACCTCTGCCTTCCCTAAAACTGTTGCCTCTGTCTCCCTTAAGCAAACTGTCCCCAAAGTGCAGTAGCCCTTAAGCTTCTCTGTGCCCCTCGCACCCATCGATGCCATCTCTAATGCACCATTCACACCTAGACCCACACCTCACCCTTTCCGGGGGTCGTTCAGAGCCACCCGCCGGGCAGGCACCACCACGCCGGCCTCTCCGGAGCACAGCCTTCCGCTCCATCTACATCCCAGCCTGTGCACCCGAAGGGACCCAACCGCGGAGTCCCAGCCCCGCTGCGGCGGAGGGCAGGGACCAGCACGCAATCCCTCAAATTTACATGAAGACCCTCCCCGGGGCTGTCACCGGCACCAACGCCCGGACCACCCTGGCCCTGGGCGGCGGATAGGGGTCTGGGGCGCTCGCTGCGGAGGCAGGGAGGAGGCCCGCAGGAGCGAGAGGTCACCGGCACAGGCTTGTCTTCCCCTCCCTTCCAGGGGCGGCGGGCCCCAGTCGCCACCTCCCTCCCAGGCCCGCAGTCTGGCGGCACCACGGCCGCAAAGGGCGGGGAGGGCGCATGCCTGACGCCTGGGTGCCTCGCGGTACCTGAACCCAGCTGGTCGAGTGGCAGCTGCACCGCGTCACGGAGGGGCCGCGGCAGGGTGGAGTCCGTGGTACTGGCGGTGCTGGAGGGTGACGGAAAGGCTTAGACCAGGGACTAAGTTGCTCTCAACTTTGCGCCCGGCAGCCCGCCCGCGCTCGCTCGCTGCCTCCGACTTCCAGCAACTCTCAACGCCCGGTCCCCACCTTGCACCGCCTGGCTAATTTTTGTATTTTTAGTAGAGGTGGGGTTTCACCATGTTGCCTGGGCTGATCGTGAACTCCTGACCTGAAGTGATCTGCCCGCCTCGACCTCCCAAAGTGCTAGGATAACAGACGTAATGTGTGTCTTTTTTTTGAGATGGACCCTCACTGTGTTGCCAGGTTGGAGTGCAGTGGCGCGATCTTGGCTCACTGCAATCTCCGCCTCCTGGGTTCAAGCTATTCTGCTTCAGCTTCCTGAGTAGCTAGGACTACAGGTGACTGCCACCACAGCCGGCTAATTTTTGTATTATTTGTAGAGATGCGGTTTCACCATGTTGGCCAGGATGGTCTCTATCTCCTGACCTCATGATTCACCCGCCTAGGCCTCCCAAAGTGCTGGGTTGATAGGTTTGAGCCACCACACCTGGCCCAATGCATGTTTTTTAAAAGGGCATCCACAATGATCCAGGCACTATGTATGTGATGAATATGTAGATACAGGAATTATCAGCACTTCTGTAATGATGAATGTTGTTTAGCTGAGGCCGTTGTCAGGAGAAATCTAAATGTTTTGTGACTTCCTGTACCCTTTCTGGGCTGTTCACCTCAAGGTCATTCCTGCATTAGCAGGAGGAAGACACTAGGGAAAGGGGAGCTCAGTTCAGTGATGTGGCCTTTGTGATCAGCCAGGTTAACCAGGTAGAAATGGCCTTCCTGCCACATCAGCATTTGTACCATGGAGGCTAGTTGTCCCACTGAGGGCATGAGAAGAGTTGGTGTAGTCAGTATAGAGTTGCCAAACCTGTTTGCCAAAAATGATGGTAAATCTATATTTTTCTTTTGAAATGCATTTTATTTTATTTATTTATTTATTTA